GGAGAAAATCTGGGGACCAATGGGAGAGGTATGTTCTTGCCCACACAAATTAGAAATCATAGGTCAGTCTCCTGGGCTCCCTCCTAGAAGGCATGTGAATTGTAGCTCCAAACCAGGTAAGGAAAATTAGGTTTATTTGAAAATTGTTGTCTCTGCATGTTCCACATACATTGAGAAAGCTGTGTGCAGTGAAATAGTAAAACCACAGAATAGAAATATTAAGCAAAAAACAAAACAAACCCCACATTCTATTTCTGGCAAGTCAGGAAGCTTCAAGAGGACCCAATTATAGGAAGTAACTTTATAGAAGATCTCTTTTACTGCTGTGCAGCCATTTCTGCAATGCTATTAAAAGAGATCCAGGGACTCTCTAACTTCAAGTCTTCCAGAAATATGCAATCATTCATAATCCTCTATGTAGGAGGATAATGAACTCCTTATATCCCTTGAGATAGATGCAGCAGCATCTGTTGGCTTATCTTCAGCCTCCTTTGGAAGACCAATGTGGCAAAATAGAACTTTGCTTTCTTTAAAAATCTGTAGAGCAGTGATCACTGAGTGAAGTTTCGGAGTTCCCTCCCTGAAAAAAACTTGCTGTGCATAAAATACATCCTACACTAGCAGTTGGCACCTGAATTATGGCTTCTGCTACTCTAGCACAGATACATGTCCTCTACAGAGCAAATTATCAGTCAGTTTTTATGTAACCTTGGCAATGATCTATTCACATATGTAATTAGACAGGAAAATTTAGACAACTTACAGAAGAATGCATCATGACTCTATGACTCTGGTTGCAGTTTGAACTCAGATTGGAGTGCTCACAAATTCAAGTGGACCAGCTATTTTCCACATAAATCTGTAAGGACAAACTAGACGTAACATTCAGGTTCTGTGAACACATCCTAAGAAGTCCTTTTACACACTTTTTACACACAATAGAAACTGTGCAAACACCAACAATGGATCTAAGTCTCAACTTTACTGGGAGGAAAATTTAGTACCCCCCTTATTTGCTGAAAAAGCCACATAGAGAAGCTACTAGCTTTCTACTATTTGCGGGGGGAAGAATAAAATCAGTTACTTGTTTCTCACTTTCCTCCTTTCCTACTCCATGGTGATTCTCTTCAAATCTCCCACAAATTTCTTTGAGGGGAAGGAGTAAATCCCACTGCCATAGCCTGATCCAATTTTGTTTGTATACAAAGACAATAGAAGAAGAGCCACAGATTTACCACGAAGTCTTGTTTGTCCATAAACATATGCTTCGTTGCTTATTCTGAAGTATCGTCATAAAATTGTGCATGTGTTCTTTGCTGTCTTTCAAATAAAAGCTGTTGATTTTCTATGATCATTTTACCCAAGGTTGCATATGAATAAGACAGCCTCATCAAGACGACCATTTGCACCCAGAAGTGTTGCAGATTTGAAAGTTGGAAATTTAGTTAAATTTTCAGGTCCAACAGGGAAAATCAGCAAAGGCACAGTCAAGTATTTGGGAAAGCTGTTTGAAAAAGAAGAGAACTATCTTGGAATAGAGCTGGAAGGTGACCAAGTGGGAAAGCATGATGGAACTTTTCAAGGAACACGCTATTTTCTTTGGTAATGTTTTACTGTTTGTTTAGTGTGTTGTGCTTTTAAGTTCTCAATTGTTCAGCCTTTATCTCCCTCCCTGCAAGGAAAGTAAAAAGGAGATAAACAATGTTCTGCAGTCATAGTCATCATCATGTTCAACATTATACCTATACCAAACACACTTGTGCAGCCCAACATGCATACCAGCAAAAGTGTGGTTATCACGGTAGAAGCAAAGCACAGAACAGCATCCAAAACTGATTCTCCAAACTTGCAGTGTACAGCAATAAAATGTATAAAAATGTAAGATATCAAGAGCAATGCAATACAATAAAATGTTAACAACACAGTAAAAACAGCAATAAATATAGTGATAAAAACAGCAGTAAAACCAGCAACAAAAAATTAGCCATTTACCTATGCAACATTACATAAAAATGTTAATGTAAACATAAGTGCATAGTATTATCCCATCACAGTAAGAACTAGAGTGCAAGGGTGAAAAAAGTGAAGTTTGTGGGAAATCATGACTTACCACTCCCTTGGGTCCTAAATTTAATTTTGTTTTCAACTCTGTTGAAGAATAACCATGCCTGGAACTCCTTGTTCAGAGGAGTTAACTGTTAATGTCTTGTTATCAAGCCTTCCAAAAGCATTGTTCTCATATAGTATACAAACAAGCATAGCATGTATACAAGCCTTACTCAAAATCATTATTTCTATAATACTGTGCATTCAAACTCCCACAGTGTTTCACTGGTGCTAAACACTTTGCAATCAATGTCGGCAAAAACAATTCCTAGAACTGGATGTTTCATCAGTATTCCACTCATTCCATACATGTTAATTTCTGACCACTTTAACCTCCGCCCAATAGGACTTCCTTTGTAAGTTATGCAAATTCCAAAGAACAAAACTGTAATGATTTTTGCTACAGAAGACAAACTTGAGCTCATGGATAACACAGTTCAAAGTGGCTCTGTAAATACAGTACCTCTTTGTAAAGGCATATATACCAGCAAAAGTTTGATCTTTCTATTGTAACCACTTCTATTGTAACCCTATTCTTACATATCTCCTGGCCATAGCAATCGCCTTCCTTGATCCCTGAATTCAGTGAAACATTATGCTGCCATGTGACTTGACGTCTTGCAGCAGCAGTGGGTTGGACCCAATGGCCTTCTAGGCCCCTTCCGAGCCTCCTATTCTATGAATCTATGAAAAAAAATATTGTTACATCTTGTGTTCAGATAATATTGGGATTTTTGATTGCTGTTGCTATACTGCCAAATGAATAACTTTCACAGAAGGCATAAGGAAGAACAGAAGGACAGCTTCAACAGGTGCACACAGATTAGGTTAAAAGTTCGAGACTGGCATGACTCTCTCAAATTCAGCTTATGTTCCAAAATTCATGAATTTTAAGTTAGACTCCTGCCTTATCTTGCATATCATGTAAGCAGTAAAGATATTTTACTGTCTTGCATATTATGCTTACATATAACTTATCCTTCATGCATTCATATTTTGCCCTGGCCCTCAGTCCCAATCCTCTTTCAAATTTTTACTTATTTTATAGAGGCTTCTTCCTCATCGCCCAGACTCTTCAAAAGCTACCCCAGCTCAGCCACCCAGTCCAGTCCTGGTTACGGGCCAGGGATACACACACACACACACACTTCATTGCTATATTGTGTACAGATGACTGAGAATTTACTGAAACTTATTTTCTTTGCACACAATGAAACTAAAATCTGAAGCCAAATGTGGAATTGTTAAAATACTTTTGATAAAATTATGTATACAGCATCTAGCAAGTTATACAAGAATGGTGAGGTGGCTGCATGCCTTGGAGGAGGAGGAGGAGGTTAGATGGGATGGTAGCCACCATGATACTCAAGAGATGGATATCTATTTTAATTGAGAACACCACAGATTTACCCAGAGGAAAATGAATCAGAGCTGTATGAAAATGAGAGTCAGAGCTGTATGTCATTTTTTTAAAATATCCACACCTATACCGTTGGACAGAATGTTACTATTTTCCCCCATCCATAAAAAGGTCAAAGACTTGACATATAGTTTGGGCTGACTCCAGCATCTACTTTCTGTGAGCAAGGGCCCTTTGGCAACAGCAAGGGAACTTTAGGAAAGAGAGGTCTCTGTTTGCAGAAGGTCATTCTGCCCACCCCGCTTTTTGTGAGGGGCATTCCTTTCCCCAATACAGATAATACTATTGAGCCAGGTCCTCCCAACTCCCTGCCTAGCATTTCTGAGCAGCTGCCATGGGATGCAGGAGATAGGAAATTCTACTTCTCAGCACAGTTGATCCAGTATAAATTTCTCCAACCTTATGTGTTTTAAACAATGACAAATAATTTTATGACACAGTGGGTGAGTTTGCATGGCATGGCAACCCATCATGCAAACAAGCTGCAGTGCACCTAACACATGATTGGGCTTACTATGAGTTGTTCTCCCATTCCTCTTCTGGGGTCCTGCTGGTACCCCAGGGTCCTGTGTAGCAAAAGTCAAGTTGTTTCCTGCTTCCAATGCAGTAATATCCCCTTCAAGTAAGGGATTAAATTTTAAAGGCTAACTCCAAATCTAGTAGCTGAGAACATATGGCTATTTCTCCAGAAAAAAGTTGTGAATGTTATATGCAGTCACATGTCACATGAATAGTTAGTATTATATTAATAGTCAATCAAAACTTCCTATGACTCCATCCATGTTTTTCAATATTTCACTTTTCCTCAACTGCCTTTACAAAATGAACACCATTGCAGTATTCACATGCAGCACTGAAGCAGTCCCATAAATAAACTCTGATTCCCACTTCAGCAGTTCCCTTTTCCTTAACTCTTTCTTCATATACCTGGACGTAACAGTGCTGCAATAAACAGCTCCAACAATCATTCCTCCACCACCCAAAGCACTGGATATTAACTGTGTAAAGGAAAACTGTAAATGCCTAACAATATACTCTTCCTGACTATTGCCACTTATGTAAGAAAACATTCCCTATCTGCAGGCACTTTTATGATTTTCTGTCATCAAAAGAGGGCTTCAGTTCAGAATATGTCTTCTAGATTTCAAACAGTACCCACCATATCGCTGTTCATTTAAACCAACATGGTTGCATTTGTCTAACTTTCAAATGTCAGTTTTCAGTGTGATTGCAAACTTCTTTTCCATCGATTAATTTTATTTCATAAAAAGTTGTGTAATAAGAACATGTGCACATTTACTGACTTCCAATATTTGCTTTCCAGTGAACCTAACAAAGGAGTTTTTGTTAACTTCAGCAAAGTCATTATTGCCTGGGAATAATGACTATCACGCTTTGAACAATGAGCACGTGGATTTTTAAAGCCTTCATGCATGTTGTACCCCTGCTGTGAAGAAGAAACAGAAACAGGCAGTGTATTTTCTATGTTTATTTTTCAAGCTTTTTCTAGTGTTCATATTGTAAAATAAAGCAGTTGTACTATAAATGTAATGTAAACAGAGAACATCTGGAATTAAGTTATAAGGGATACACTTCCAAGTTAACTGATTTGCCATAATTTTCCCTCCATTCAAAGCTCTTCACTGTTCACATACAGGGAATAAGGAATAATAGATTCAAATGAAAGGCCAAGTTGTAGCAGTTCTGAGATTGTGATAATTGCAGAAATGCTTTTCTTTCATGTGATCAGAACACGTGCACCTGTGCTACTGAGGTACAGCAAGTTCTCAATAAAATAGTAGAGAACTATCAGACTACATATGGAGGGGCAAATGATTTTTCTTGCATTTCAAAAGTGAAGGAAAAAAAAGATGTCAAGGTAATATAAAGTACAAGCTAAGATACATTTAAACACTTCAGAAATACAGGCCACTATCTATAAGACAACATATACTGCTGTGTGTAGCAGGCACACTCAGAGCTACTCTAGTCAACCTCTAGTCTGACTCTAGCCTGAGTGATAATCAGCTTTTGTAATAACTGATGTGGTGGTGCTATTTTCATTACATATAATCACAAGCATCACAGCTCAGTTAACATTTTCTGAGTTGTCTCAATCCTGTAAAAACAGGCATACAGGCAATCATATCTGGAATCTGATTATTCAAGTATAAATCCAGTATAAATGCTAAATACCCGGTTTCAATTCTTGTTTGAGAGGGAAGTGTCGTTTTGTGGGGTGGAGTAGGGGAGTGTTAGCCAAAGGGAGACGTGCTGGAGGGAAAGAATGGCTTTGTTACTCTCAGCCCTGCTAAACAAATAGCCAAAATCAGCTCTGCAACAACTGGGATCAACTGGTACTGGGTCAATTTTCACTTTTTGACTGAAATAGGGAACCATGAAGAGTATAAAACAAAAGATTAAAATGGCTATAAAAAGATACATTTTTCTTTCTTGCACCACCATTCAAATTCATTCCTGTTGAGACAATGCAAGCAGTATGATACAGCTACCAATTCGGCATTTAAAAACATGTTGGGTGTGGGGGGGGGGGGGACAACTATTAAATGACTATAATTGATTTAAGCTCAAAGAGTGATTTCTGACTCTGACAGACTAAGAAGGAGTCACACTGGAAACTGACAAGGTCCAAACAGTTTTCCTTAACAAGATGATTTAATAAAATGGTCATCAAAAAGAGTATGTACTAGACCCACACACAATATAACAGAAAGTGAAGAGGAAAGACCCCTTTTAAAATGAGAGAATGGCTATCAAAACAAGTTATTTTAGAAGTTTCCTTTCTACATGAGAATAAATGCTACATTTTCTTAAGGTTTATTTTGTTTTTGTTTTCTATTTGTTTATTTAGGCAACTGCAGCTTTCAGTATGTGTCATTTGGAGGTACCATGCATGCACAGCCTCTTAATGCATTTACACATTTCATGTTGCAATAGTTAATTTCCACTCAGCATACACATTCTAGATCATAAGAAACATCCTATTTACAGGATTTTAAAAGATCACGTTTTTTTTTATAATGAAAAAATTTACAAGAATTGAACAACACAAAAATAGATTAAACACATTGTTTTATCACTTAAAGAACACAATTCTTTAAAAACTGCTCAAAGGTCCTGAGAACTTTAGAATATTGCATTAACTCAAGTGACCTTTGAGTAGTTAGAAAACAAGAAGCCCTCCCACTTATAACAGAAACAAGGATCACCTTCGAAACCTCCCACACATGGCAAATTTGAACAGTTATTTGGAAAAACAAATATAGCACACAGAGCCTGTATTGGCTATAATATGCATTCATTCTGTGCCCATTTTCATCTTTCACTGTAGGCTCATAGCACCTGAACAGGTAGAAGAGCTAAGGGCCCATCCAGCTATATCAAACTATAAACTGATTTCACATTTTAGGCTACACTACATTTTTCTTCTTGAGTTGTCCATGACCACAATCCATTAAACAGCATATTTCATCTTTCATATTCTCTTTAAAGCATTTTTAAATTTTTGTCCCAATTTAAAAGTCTGTCAAAATCCAGTGAGGCTGCAGAAGTTTACAATCAAAGGCATGAAAGAAGGGTACATAACTGGAATATATAGTAACTGAGGAATACATGACTTAGTAGCATGACTGAGACCAGCTCTTTAAAAATTACACTTGCTTCACACATCTGCCATAAAGAAAAATACATACATACCACAGACACACGCACACACTTTTCAATTTGATCTAGTTCACAAAACATGTTCTCTTACCTTACTAACTCCTCCCTTTCTACGTATACAAGATAGTTTGATAGTTCCAAGTATCAAACAAGACAGTATGATAGTTCACATACCCAAGTTCAAGATTTAATTTTGGCTTGCTATCTTCTGAATTTTTCCATAACTATTCTATTGACTAAACACTGAGCTTTTGTATTTTTATGTGAAAGGGAAGCATTTTCATAGTGGTTAAATAATTTTATAAACAAGTATTTTGGAAAACCTGGTCATAGTTTTGAATATTCAGCGCCCAAATAGTACAGTGCCCAAGTACTACGGGTGAGAGAAAAAGCTCAATTATTAAAAAGTAGTGCATTTTTCGAATTCATGATGCCCTCAAAAACCCACCACTCAGATGTGCACATTCCAAAGTTATATACTTGCAGTGCATTTTCTATGTGAAGGGATATAAGTTGTTAGCACCTTAACCAATTATTTTATGTTGTTAGGTTTACTCTGGCATAACCTAAACCCACTTCAGATCCCCAATTAGCTTCCAAATGCAAATCAATACTCATATACAACTCTTACAAATTAAAATTAATTTCATTGCTATTATCAGCATTACAGCATAAAAGGATATATACAAGTAAACACGTACAATGGTATTTTGCACACTGAGCAAGTAACAATAACTTACAAGTTTTAAGTTTCTTTGAATGGGGTCACTAGCTATCAGCTTGTCTTCCCCACCATAAGCTGTGATCTTGTCATCTTTTCCATAGATAAAAGGTATTAGTAAAAGGAAATGATTCTTCAAAACAGCAACAACTCCACAGTGTGCAGTACTGTGATGTATGTTTATGGCTTCCCTGTTATCTCCCATGAATCAGAGAATACTGTGTACATGAAGTGGCCATTCCACATATGCAGAGCATTCCCTACTCACAAAATGAAACAGGAAATCCCTCCTGAAACAGGAGGTGTAAGCATACAAAGGCCCTATGGGAATTTTGGTTATGCTGCCTTATTTATGCTGCAAAGATGGACTGTGCCCAGAATTGACAGGTTGCATGCAATTGTAAATAATGCCTCCTCCAGTCAAAAACCCTTGTAGTCATACTGAGGTGAAAAAGTGGCACATATCTTTCAAACATACTACTTCTACTCTTAACTACAGTACGTTCCTTGCCAACAGCAGCACAAATAAGTGCCAAAGAGCTTGTGTTCAAAAAAGGCAAAAACAGCCATATGAAATCATGACAATGTTACTGATCAGCCCAAGACATAAAATGTTATTTAACTGGTAACTATGAACAATACTCTGCCTGCAGTATTTCATCTTTGTTCTATTTTACAGAACAGAATTTTATAATGAACCCTTCTCTAGGGGCAGCAGAATTCTTAGCATTTTCTTCAGAGATTCAAGGTCATAATATTTGCAATGATGTAAAGATCAGGAATTTAAAATATCTCAACACTGATTCCTTTAATTTCATTGTGCTCCTTGCTATTTGAAACCAGCTTCGGTACCATTTTTATGGTATGAGGTAACACTTATGAATCACAGCAGATAACCTCCACTTTGACCAAGCATTTATCTTCTGTACATACCAACCTATGAGAGAAACATTTACATGGAAAAGATGTGAAAAGCTGCAAGGATCTGGAGGAACACATTTTGAGTGTGTAAGAAACTAAATACACTGTCTCAGTATTTTATCAGTGAGGGGAAAAAAACATCCTGACTGTTCTTGTACAATTTTATTTTTGAATGACTTCTTCAAAACCAAGAAACCTTCACAAAAGAGTGCTTTATTTCAGCATCTAGAAGCACTCAAATCAAACATCTTTATAATAATCGGATGCATCAAGTACCAGTACAGTTCCTTTTTTGTACTCTTGTATGTCCATTAACTGCTGACATTCAAAAAAGAAATGCAGTGTGCAACATTTCAAGATCCACCACTCATATTAGTTAATACAGGCTGGTTTATTGACAATGTGCAAATAAACCTTTATTGAAGAGCTAATATTGATTATTAGTTTTCAGCTAAATCAGAATGGGGGCACAAAGTACCTTCTGTGCTGTAAACATCATGAATTCTTCACATAATTGGAAGCTGAAAGGCCTAAGGAACAGGGTGCAAACACTTCTCATACATAACGATGGCTGAGCTCAAGTCTTCCAAAGAGAATTTGGAATAGTTCTGCATTTGGCATATGTCCGCTCTACTGTCATCAAGCACAGTTTTAAGGGAACATCATTATAAAAGCATACTTTACTTTTAGCTTTAAAACACAAAAGCCTAATAAAAGCATGCAGCTATTCTTTTTCCTCTGTAATATGGTATAATTATTTAATTACCAGTGTTAACATGACTTGGTGAGTGCTGTGTAAGCGAAAGGGATTGTAAAATCACCTCTGATTGTACTCTATAAATAAGGCTCATACAGTACTTCCCCCTCCTCACCATGTTTCATGATTTCAAGACAGCAATTGTGTAGACTTAAATTACCCTGAAAAAAGCAGCATTTTACAAATACCCTTTTTTGCTCTTTGAACCCACCCCACCCCTTTTTCAGTAGTTTACAATCTGGAAGCACAGGGAGCCTTTCTTTTCCAGCTTGCTGTGGCCAGATTATCAGGTCTGGTAATTCACAGTTTGTCTGGATACCTGTAACACTTCACACCACAAAGTAATAGTTCTATGCTTATAAAAATATATATAAGGGCTACTACCCAGCAAATGTAATTATAGGGGCTAGAAGAGCAGCAATCACTTGCTTTCCTGTATACATTCTTCATGGAGGGATTCCACTGAGGGTTTAGGATTTCCTTTCAGCTTTGTTCACCACAGTGGGATAAGAGTATCACTCCCCACCAAACTAATCTTTAGTGCAGCATGGGTGGAAGAGGGATTTCTCCCTTATAATTTAAAAATGATTGGTTGTCAGACGCCTGGTAGATGGACTGAAAGGTGCCTCTCATTCCTTCTATGGCTGTGTGCTCTATAGCCCGTTTTTAATCCAAAGCAGATCTTTATGGATTTAGGCATACCGCGGCATTTCACACTGCTCACAGCGATTCAGTGCTGGATGGTTCAAAAAAGTACAGCTGTCACAATTCCACGGAGCTCCTTCAAAGTCTTCATCTCTTGGCTGTGATCGCGGAACTTGCTTGGAACTGTTCTGATGGTCTACAGAGAATGATTTCCTTTTAAATTCTATAGTTGTAAGTGCACAAAACAATGCATGCTATAGTAAAACACTGAAATTTCAACATTTTTCTTCTGTTCAGACTGTTATCCATACCATATTATCTTTGTTCTCAGCGAGGATCTAGTGGCACACAGTATTTTATGTATATAGATTAAATCAGTATTCTAAATTTTAGAAGTTTAGGGGCATGACAAATCATATCTGATCTACCAGTTTGGTTGGAGGAATCCAATCTGGCAACGGGCATGGCTATTCAGGTATGCTAATGTCAAAGGGCAGCACTGATTACTTCTTACAGTTCTATTTAAAGATGGACAAAGGTCCATATGTGCATCAGACAGAATTTACTGCAATACTGTAGTTTACCTACATTACAGTTTTAAAAAAAATCTACATTCACCTTAATATCAAGCATGGTTATAGTTGCCGTAACCTTTTAGTATGTCAATGACCATCACAACATCTACAAAAGATTTGTCCTGTGCTACTTTCATCTTCACAAGCAAATTTTATCTTACAATCCATGGGATTAAGCTGGATACTTCTGTGAATCCAGCAGAATGAACTTGACACATCAAGCTTTAATGTAAGCATACAGCATTTGACTACAGGCAACAAAGCCCTGGATATTGTGCTGTTTCAACTGACCTAAAATTTCCACAGAAAATTCAAATTTTGCTGCAGGATATTCAGAAAGGCCCTAATGGCCCATCCCTTTTAGGCTCTCTCATTTCCTCACAGATTACTTATCTGTGTTTTGCCTCAACAGCTAACACTTTTTAGAATGCTAGCAAAATGAACTGTTAGAAATGTGAATACATATATCATGTGTTTTCTATAGAATAACAGCATTTAAACATGCTTACCACTTTGTCGAAACATTACCAAATTGCTGTTGGTACTACTTGGCAGAAAGACACCAACATTTTTCAGTATATCTTTTTTCACTACTCAGTACAAGGTATCTTCCTTTATGCATATATATCCTCCACTTATCTGAAAATAACTAGAGGGCTGACTTCAGGCATTTACCTTTCACAGACTTATTTTCAAGCTATGCTATTTTTTCCCCAAGGAAAGCAGCTTCTTCAAAGGAGCCATAGTACAACATTATGACTTAAGGTGACCTGTAAGTTCTATAAGGTGTGTTCCAGCAAAATGAACACAAAGTGCATGGAGGGGGGGAGCAGGGGGAAGAGACAGCATGATTAAGTCATGCTTGGCTTTATTACAAATTAATTTGAAATAGCCACCTGGTCCCTGACACTTCCAATTAATTTCTGCTCCAGTGTTTTCAGTCCCTTAATTTGTCCAGTCTGCCCACTGGAGAGTTGGAAATACAGGGCGAAAGCCACCTTAGAAAGTTTGTAGGTTGGCACAGTGGAGAAGGACAAAATGAGAGTACCTGCACGTATGCCATGATTCTTTCCTCTGAAGTTGCTAACCAAAAGAAAGAACCAGGTGGGCCGAAGGGTAGGCCACTTTTAAAATATATAGCCTTAAGAGGATCAAATACTAACTATACAAGCTGAGAAAAGGCAGGGGTAGGAGAAACCCCTTGAACTGAGATGTATAAAGGACTGTAAGTACAAAAGCAAACCAAGCAAGTAGGACCTATCCAGGAAAGGAATATAAAACTAAAAAGTGTTGCTTCTCAAAACGCCACATCATGCATAAGCATACTATAATAGCTATCTCCCAATACATTAAGAACATGCCATTTGCTACCTTTGCTATGGCTGCAATACATCTGTCCAAGTATGTGGTTTTTGCACAGCTTGCACGGGGAAATAATGACAAGAAAACCTTAGCACCAAGTTATTAGTAATTAAAATGTAAATATTTATTTGGTGACTCACCTTTTTTACATGGCTTTGGTGGCACAACAGGACCAGGTTCTATGTTATCATAAAAGTTGCTCATGGCTTTCGGGTCAAAGTTCCCTATTAATATGAGACAGAAAATTATACAGCCTCAGAACAATATAAATATTTAAGGGTCACGGAAGTTAAGAGCCTCATTCAAATATGCAAGATTTCAACATGAGGTATTTTATAGACTACACAGTTTCCTGCCCCATTGGACTTCTGTACCTTCCTGTTATGATGCCCTGCTGTTTGGGAGATATACTTATAAAGAATGATTGCACGATGAATGGAATGCAGTTCCTTAAAGCACTACCAAAATTATTTTTTGCAAGTATGCTCTAGTTTTTAAATCTTGTTCCTTTTACTAGGGCAACTGAAATATCTAACAGCATTGACAGGCTAACTGATTAAGAAAAAACAGAACCACATGTCTTTCACTGTACAACAGTGAAAAGACAGATCAATAATATGCAAGAAATTGATAGCATTTAAATATACTGCTCCAAAGAAAAAATTCTTTGATAAAGAAATGTATTAAAACTATATACCTCTAGACTGAAGGAGGTCAATTTCTTTCTGTGTACAGTCAACGTTTATCTGGAGCTGCCTGTTCACACTTCTCAATCTGGTCATCTCCTCAGGCTAGTAAAGAGAACCAAAAATAGCAATGGAAGGAAAGTCAGCACAACCATTTTTTGTTAAGCTACACAGAAACATACAGCCAAACAGAAACTTATTACTTATTCGCCCCCTTAAATCTATGCAGATGTAACTGCATAGGTGCAACATTTATTGAAATGCTCTGTTTTCAGTATTATGGCAATATGAGCTTTTTCATCAGGAAAAATATAATTTACAAGCAGGAAGTTTAATTTAAATCCATCTCCTTGGTAATTTAAGACCGATTAAAACTGTTGATTCAAATCCTCGTGCTTTAAAACCAACCCCCTCTATTGCGATCACTCATGGGAGTTTCAGCACGACATTGTAGTACACATTCTTAGAAACTCTTGGAGATAAACTATATGAAACAGGTTTCAAAGTAGTGCAGCATAGATGTGATCGGAAAGCTACTGTGCTTTGTTGTGAAAAATAATTAACTAGCATATAGGCACCTCAATGAAGCACATGAAAAGCCATCATTTTAAGGCAATTAATCAATTCACCTGTGTATCTAGCCAAAATGAGATTTTATACTTGTAAAATAAGAAACAAATCATCCTTATCAGAACAAAAACAGCAACTAAGAAAATTCCTCATAGACTGTAGCCTAACAAGACTTAAATCAAGTTGCGTATCCCAAAGGCAATGCTTTTTCCAGGACCCCAAGCTTAAATCTTCCTGCCTCAGCTTTAGACTGATCTTTTCACCCAAGTGTCTTATTTCCAGCTGAAGATGCCACCACACTGCCAATTCAGTGACTTCAAACAGTAGGTGTGTGTTCTTTCTGACCTGGGAAACAGCATGGGCCAATTATGACACTGCATATGAAAACAGTTTATGTGAACTATATCCAGTCACGAGCTGGACTCCACTAATGAATCGGAGGTCTCTGAGGAGTCACCAATGCTACAATCTGGTCCAAAATTATTGGAAGAATTTCAATTATTGCGGCCTGATGATCTGGACAAGGTGCTTGGACGAGTATGTCCCACCACTTGCCTATTGGATCCTTGCCCGTCTTGGTTAATAAATAACTCCAAGCACGGGATTGGGACCTGGATCTTGGAAGTGCTTAACGCTTCTCTGAGGGAGGGTCGAGTGCCTGCCCCTTTAAAGGAGGCGGTAATACGACCGGTCCTGAAGAAAGCGTCACTGGATCCAGAGATGGCCACTAACTATAGACCTGTGGCCAACATCCCGTTTCTGGGCAAGGTGTTGGAGCGAGTGGTGGCAGGACAACTCCAAGCACTCTTGGATGAAACTGATTATCTGGATCCTTTTCAGTCCGGCTTCAGACCCGGGTACAGTACTGAATCTGCCTTGGTCGCCCTGTACGATGACCTGTGCAGGGAGAAGGACAGGGGGAGTACATCCCTGTTGGTTCTTCTGGACCTCTTGGCGGCTTTCGATACCATCGACCATGGTATCCTTCTGGATAGACTTGCGGGATTGGGGGTTGGAGGCACTGCTCTGCAGTGGTTCCGCTCCTATCTCAACGGTCGATTCCAGAAGGTAGTGCTGGGGGACCATGTCTCTACGTCATGGCAGCTATGCCATGGAGTACCACAGGGCTCCATTCTATCCCCTCTGCTATTTAACATCTATATGAAACCGCTGGGAGAGGTCATCAGGAGGTGTGGGCTGCGGAATCATCAATACGCTGATGATACCCAGCTTTACCTCTCGTTTTCCACTAATCCAGGTGAGGCAGTGGCTGTGCTGAACCGGTGCTTGGCCGAGGTAAGGGAATGGATGAGGACAAATAAACTGAAACTCAACCCAGACAAGACGGAGGTCCTGTTGGTTGGCGGATCGGGTTTCGGAGAGGGTGGATTTGACCTGGTCCTGAATGGTACAACACTCCCTCTTAGGGATAAGGTCCGCAGCCTAGGAGTACTCCTCGACCCAGAGCTTTCTTTGGAAGCTCAGGTGACAGCGGTGGCGAGGAACGCCTTCCTTCAGCTTCAGCTGATTAATCAGCTGCGCCCCTACCTGGAGTACGACTGCCTGGCGACGGTGACACACGCGCTGGTGACTTCCCGCCTAGACTTCTGTAACGCGCTTTGGGGGGGCTTCCCCTGAAGACAGTCCGAACACTTCAATTGGTGCAAAATAGAGCTGCCAGGTTGCTGACGGGGACGGGGCGTTATGCTCACATGACTCCAGTCCTCCGTCAGCTTCACTGGCTTCCCATTGAAGCCCGGGCCCAATTCAAGGTGTTGATTATGACCTATAAAGCCCTAAACGGCTTGGGTCCTGGCTACCTGAACGAGCGCTTACGTCCATATATGCCCGACCGCCCTTTGAGATCTGCGGGAGAGTCCCTTCTCTGGGAACCCTCCATGAAAGAAATTAGGAGAGTAAGTACTCGGAGGAGGGCTTTCTCTGCGGTGGCACCCAACCTATGGAATTCACTCCCCAAAAAGGTCCGCCTGGCACCGTCGTTACTGGTTTTTCGGCGCCAGGTAAAGACCTTTTTATTTAAACATCATTTTAATTGTTAAAACATATGATCTGGCCAGGGCAACTTCTTTTTCCTTCTCTTTCTCCTCCTATATTTTTATTTACTTAATTTATACTGATAATTTTAATCTTATATTTGTAAATCAATGTATTTTTTATATTTTGTATTTAATGGTAATTTATTATGTGCTATTGTATTTCATTGTATTTTATCGTGTTGTAAGCCGCCCCGAGGTTTCGGCAAGGGGCGGCATAGAAATGTAATAATAATAATAATAATAATAATAATAATAATAATAATAATGCATAAAAGTAAAAGACATGTTGGATGAGTCTCCTGCATTGTCAAAAAGGAAAACAAGGTTAGGACGGCATATAAGTATCCTAAATAAATAAATAAATTTGCAAAAACTTTTACTTACTGTTGGGATAGATGTTGTACAGCTCACTCTTCTCAGACGCCTTTGCATAAGATCATGTTCCATGCCATTCACTTCACCTTTAAGCTTCTCAAGCTCCTCATTTTCAAACTTCAGTTCTTTTGCTAGCCTCTCCATCCTTGCACGTTGGTGTAATAACAAGGCTAGTGTAGTGTAGAAGACAAAGTCAGTGCAAGGCACTAAACTGGGAAAAACAATTGGTAACTCAGGTATTAAACACAAGCAGCCTTTTTAAGAACAGGAATCAATCATAAGTATGCAGTCAAAAATCAATGCAGAGTTGCTTCATGAGAACAGAACTATAGCTGTAGATATGAAGTTCTTCCACCATAAAAATAATTTTAGAGAAGTAATGTGAAGATATTACCATTTCAGGCCACTGCTTTTTTGTTTTGTTCTTTGTCCACTCAAAAATAAAAAGACACCTATATAGGGAGAAAGCTTCTCAGGATGAAATGGCAATCTAATTGTATCAACAATGCTCTGGCAAGACTAAAATTCAAATAAAAAACTAGACTACAAGGTAGTTTTCACTGCTCCGATTAATAAAGTTGTCTGATAAAATGGTCTTTACTCATTGGAAAAGCATCTTTTGTCTCCAGATTACAAAATCTGTGCACAAAGACAAAATAAACTCTAAAAGCCTGAGATTATGGAAAGACATAATTAGCTACTAGAGCTGTCGTATGGGGAAAAAAGGACTCCCTCCTTGATTGATGTCTTAATCTTTCATTTTAGAACAAACATTTAACCATTCAGTCCTAATCTCTCCTTTTCTAATCTCTCCTTTTTAGTACTTCCTTCACAACTCAACACTTTCCCTAAGGAAAAAAATAACAAGAACCTCAAACTAAAAGAAGGTGTGTGTGCAGGGGCGGGGGGGGGGCATTCTGCAAACAGATAAACATGCTGACTGCACGAAATAGAGTGAAACAACTTTATGGTTTGACTATTTCTGAAGACATTCCCAATCCCCTCTTGCCATCTTGCTCCGAGCAATGCAGTCTGCTGCAATCAAGAGACTGGAGGCATTTGTGTAGTGCTAGAAATGCAGTTTTACTCTTTCTGCCTGTTCAAAGTACTAACACCAGCTGTCTTTGGGGAGAATTGAGGCCTTGGGCTGTCAACTAACTGGACAGCACCCAACCTCTTGGCATATTAGATGTGATTATGTGCAGACAACAGAATAGCCATCTCTTCCACTAACTGCCAAGCAGGAAGCAGTGGTGCTGGAGAAATCATAGCACAAATGGGACCACAACATGGGAACCCTTCAATGCTCCAATTTACATCCACCCTACACCAAATTCTACACTTTGAGTCACACAATAGATTAGTAAGCCAGACTTCTTACCAACTGGGGTAGAAACTAACCAAATCCCCCTCATGATAAAAGTATTTAAAAGCCCAGTGAGTAGAGTAGAACAGATCCAAACAACTCATACATTATGCATTCTAAGGACTTTTGGCTAGAAAGTAAAGGGAGAGGGATTTTGTGTACGTACATTAACTGCTTTACAGCAGATACACCCAGAATAAGTTCCATTCCTGAGACTGTCTTTAAGTTGAATTTGTATGTAAGTCAGATCACATATAAAAAGCATACAAAATACTTCAGAAATACTTCCATATAGACTAAAACACCTTAAGCACAATGCAGTGTTTTAATAATGATAATAATACAGTAATAAAAAAGTAACTACAGGCACTGAAGAGAGAGAATCCCACTGTTGAATGACTAAAGTCTGATGCTTTCCCAAAGACCAATGGTGTTTTACCTGTCTCTGATCATTTTATTATTTGTTTCAACTGTTTAGTTTTTCTTTTATTCAATGCATCACCTGCTCTTGGACACTCCCTGTCCATTTCTGTAGCATTATGTGACACATTGTGTAACAGTGACAACTACTTCTTCTGCAGTAACAGTAACTTACTACATTGTATCAATGCAATGTATATTATTTCTGACAATTGAGTGATACTGTCACCCCATATTACACTGACAAAGCTGTCATTAAGCCCCTTCCTGACACCTTCTTTGCTGCTGCAAAAAACAAATTGAGTAAACTCCAGAAGTATGTGCTTCTCTTACCTCATCTCTCATGGGACAACATAACACATATTTGTTATTAACCAATGCATAATACATAAATATTGCATCTCACACTGGCTTATGAATTTGAAAGACCGTTAGTAGTTTAAGGACACAAGCATTTAGGAAGCAGAACAGTTCAATTTTTATTTTTAAAAAAAGTTTGAAGTGCACATCTCAGAAATTCTAAAAAAGTTTACCTTGTGTATAAGCATAGTCATCTGATCCAGAACTGGAACTCCTCTGGTACTTATGGCTTCCCCTTTCACCTCCAGCTCCTGGTACAACTGAAATGGGCTGAATAGGTTCTGGTGCTGCAGAATGCTCTTCTTGGTCCACTAAATTTAAAAGGTTCTCAGCTGGTGCTCGGCCTACTGTAATTTTAAAAACTGCTGGATTTGGCTGAGATACCATTACCCGGGGGGACTGTGTAAGTACGCCTGTAGGTCCAGCTGGCTGTGTGTACGTTATATATACAGGATTAACACTATAAGGAGGTTTGGGCTGACCTGACATACTTCTGGAAGGAGAACTTGAAGGTGGAGTAGCAGGTGCATACAGTGGGTGCTGGTTCCGTTGGGATGGTTGGTTACTTATAGGCGAAGGGCTCCTATTAAGTGCTGTCCCTGTTCTTTGTGGTGGCTCAACTGTAATTTCTATCTTGTTCATGGAGCCTTTAGATAAGGTAGGTCCACCATAAGGGAGATAAGATACTGAGTGCCCACTTGGTTTTTGATACGTCTGGGGTGTTTGTTGATATGGATGGGGTAGTACAGTTGAAGGACTAGGCGGCATAAACACATGAGAACTTTGATGTCCTAACTGAGTAGGCTGAACTTGATGTTGAGGTGAGCCAAAAGGAGAAGGGCACTGAGAAGCAGGTGGTGATCGAAAAGGTGACTGAGGAATCTGGGGCTGTTTTGGAGAATACTGAGAAGGTTGATAGTTTTGTTGGTGTGGATAGACAGGTAATGGATGTGGACTGTAATGTGGAACTGGACCTTGTGGCGATGAATGCCACTGTGTATTTTGAGTAGGAGTCTGTCGTCCTGAAGAACCTTGAGATGTCTGCCTAATGTAGAGAGAGCCAGGAGTCCCATAAGGGCTGCTTGGAATCGGAGGAAGAATTTGTAATGCTCTGGGTACAGTCTGTCCAGAAGGTAGGTTTTGCGACACTGTAACAGTTATAGGATTTGTGCTGTACCGAGGTATGTGCATATATGTAGGAGGAGGAGGAGGGCCTTGCATAGCAGATGTATTCATTCCAGGTTGTATCGAAGAAGGTTGCTGAGGTGGCTGAGGAGGAGGAGTAGCTGCATTTCTATTCTGGTCATTCATAAAAAATGGATTGTAGTTGGGAGAAGCTGTCACAACAGCCGGAGCAGAATGTGGTTCTTGAACTAAGCATATCAGCTGTTTACCTGCTGTGCGTTGTGGATCAATATGTCCATCACTTGAACTATGTACCAGTGTACGACTACCATTAAGTTGAGCTCCGTCTCCTCCATGATAGCTGGCATGAGGATGGATACCCAGGTTAATATGCAGAAGGCGATTCCTGTTCATTCGGGTGTCATCTGGGCTATGGTACTCCATATACAGGTATTTGTTACTTTCTTGGGCAAGAACCCGACAACAAGCATCCAGGTTGTTGTTGTTCTAGTAGTAAGAGGTAGCACATATTAAGTATTAAAGCCTAACTTAAACATATATTCAGTTTCACATTTCAGTATGAACTATCACCTAAGTAAAACTCTTGATTGAATAATGATTGATTAAATTTGCATATAAAGCAAGGGTTCATTAAAGAAAAGGCACCCTTGTTAAAGATGAAGCACACATTTTATAAGCTTTTGTCTCTTTCTGCATCTATACAATGGAGAAAACATAAGATTTTACTGTGATCCAATATAAATCTTACTTTTTTCCTGGGCCAACCTGCCTGAGCATCTACTGCCTCTGAGATTCACGGAAATTACAGTTTCCAGTGCTTCCAGTATACTACACTGGGACAGAAGCTATTAGAAACTATCATGCTTATACAATCCAGTAGCAAGAGCTAGTTCAGGTGCACATGCCATCACCACAGTATAACTGTTATTCTGATTATGACCTTCGCTATTTAGTAGTGAGAATGGATGAAAGTCAACATATGTCTTTGAACTTATGGTTCAAGTAAGCACATTTTTCCCCTTGTACCAATGATTCGAAACAGTTTGTTCAGAGTTTTGTCAGTATTCTCTGAACCTGACAACTAGGCTTATTCTTGGTCTTCTTGCTGTATTTGGGAAAATGGTTGACCATCTATCCTGTAGTTAAGCAGTGCTTAACTATAAAGCATATAAAGACTGAAGAGTAACAGAGAAAAATAGGAATCCCAATATTTCTACTCCCCTAATTAGAACTTAATACCTTCCCCCCAGAATAACAGTTTCAGAAACAAAAAACTTAAAGTTATGCTTAGGTCTTACTAGTTTATCATAATGGAGCCTGCAAAGTTAAAAAGATATATCAGTGTTGTATTAACTCCTACCTGGAGCATGCATTGAGACACCACACCTTCTGGAATCTCAGGGAAACGTTGTCGGAGATCATGGAGTACCTGCATATCAAGTTGCTGGCTGCCCTGCGCCATGCCAGACTGATGTTAGTCTCAAGATTTTCAGGAAACAGCAGTCAACACGCTTCCCAGTGGTTATGATCTTCTGATGCTTCCAGCATCTTCTATTAACAGATAGTACAATGAAGAAAATGTTTATGAAGAAAACTCAAAATCACGTATGTTCTGATTCAGAAAGTCTTTATATATAAAATAGATACAGATACAGATACATGTATGTGTGCGTGTGCCAACATCCCAATTTAATATTTCCTAAGACAATTACCTTCACCACTTTGCTCAATGCTATGCTGAAACCCCATATAGTATAGTGGTTAAGAATGAGAGATCTGGGTTCTAATCCCTACTCACTTATGGCACTCACTGAGTGCTTTCAGCCAGTCATAGACTCTCAGTTCAACCTTCTTCACAGGGTTGTTATTGTGAGGGTAAAATTGAGAGAAGGGGAATTAATGTAAGCAGATTTACTTTACTGAGTTCCTTTAAAAAAAGATGAAATATAAATATAGTAAATTCACAAGAGGATGTAATGAATAAAATAAAACTCACAATCTAAGAATCTTTCCCAAATCTTCAAGCAAATCAGACAAGAAATCTCTCTGGATAAGATAAACCAACACTCCTATGGTTCTAGCAAAAGAGCTCTGGAAAAGGACATCTTCATAATCCTCAGTGTTAGATTTCTCTTCTACTCATGTAGTAACTCATATTTCTAACATATCTTACAAAAGCAATTAGAATGGCAACTTCAATGTTCCTGATTTAGTTGCACAGAAGAACAGTAATGTTACCATGGGATTTTTTTGTTGAAAAAAACAATCAATGGGTCAGTTTTATGTGAATAAATTCATCCTCTTTGTTTAGCTTTTGAAAGGGTTGTAAAACCTTTCCTTTGCATCTTACTTTTGGGATTTCTCATTAGAGTGATGCTTCATTAGAGTGATACTTCCAAAAGACTGAAAAAAGTTATATATTGACCCACTGACAATTTGCAGCACCATGCAAAAGGCCAACTGTAGAGTGTTATCCATCAATGAACAGTCAAAGAGTACCAGACGTACTAAATCAAAATAAATTGCTGATATGCTGCTACATGCTGCTGCCGCCGGCAGCAGGTCAGGAGTGGTGATGTCATAGCACACCATTCTTGATTTAATACCTACAAACTGTATTTTTAACACCAATGGTTGAGACTAAAGAATAATAATAATAATAATAATAATAATAATAATAATAATAATAATAAGCAGCACCAGCAGCAGCAGCAGCAGCAGCAGCAGCAGCAAGTTCTTTGGCAGCAGTTTCTTTTTCATCAATTTTATCCAATGTAGCAACAACACATATTTAGTGATACTTATGTGTTTAATGTAATGCATAATAATTCTTTACATAAACTTAGAAAGTGTATCAAATTTCTGTTTTGCATCGACATTTTGTATCTTTTTTTTTTTTTTGTTAATCATGGTGGTGAAATTTGTGGATTATACACCTACTAGTGGATTATACACCTACTAGGTGGTTGTAAATTTCTGTGCACAGTGCAAGATGAGAGAGTACAGCCTAAAAGACAAGATGCACACTAACAGCATAGCTTCCTTTTCTCCCATACCATGCCTCTTTTTTACTACTTTCCAACTATCAATCATACTGCTTAAATTCTTTATACTGTACTCTTTGTTGTATTTTTGGTCAATTTGACAATCAAATATTGTCAACAGCACTAACTTCATTAAGTAACAATGATAAATCTTAAACTTATGCCAATTTCACAAGCATTAGTAATCACCAGATTAACTTCTCTGCTTAGTGCAAAAAGTATTATAACACTTAACTAAAGTAAGTATGGTTCCTATCTTATCAGTAAGAGAATCACTCAACAGTTCCTCAGTCCAGTTTTTATTCTGGAACACAATAGTCAAATTACTGACGGTGATGTGGATTTTTCATAAAAAGCAAAGCTAGAAAATTTTCCAGGAAATTTTCCAACTTTACAAATAAAGAGGTCCACTTCTTGTACTGGCTTCCTATATGGGCCTTGTATTTTTTAGGATAGTTTTTACATGTTAAATGCTTCCTCATTTTTGTAGCATTGCTAACATATTCCCATTCAGTATTTCACATGTACCAACCGTTTTTCTTACTTCACTGTTTTCACTGTAATGTAGCCACCACTAGCCTTCTGCTGTTTCGGCATTACGACAACAATGTAGCTCAAAGTAATCATAAGCATGAAATGACTAGCCAATCTTATGCGAACCTTTCTAACTTCATGAGCTCATGAGAAGAAATGAGACACTTCTCTGTGAAAAGTTTCAGTTTCAGTTTTCCTTCAGAACAAGGAGCCCTCCAACTAGTCAGCTGGATTTCTGAAGTGGTAGAATCTAATTTGACACATCAATGGGTTAAGAGAGTATTCGAATTGTTTTATTTACAGATGCATGAATAAGGTTGTGTGTGCAACTATTTAAAATAATTATGATACAATTTAAAAATAAAAAAATAAAAAGTTCTCCCTTAGTTTGTTACTGAAGCATGTTAGTGCCAGTAGGCAAATATATCATGTTCAGACCCAGCCTGGAGCCAAATGTATTGTGCACTGCATTGTGTCGTACCTTATTTTTCAGTTTCCCCATGGGCAACTAAGTACTGGTTTATCAATATTTGCCTTAGAAGAATAAATTATATAAGTTTATATCCTATATTTAGCTTATCTAGCATGATTGATGACAGTACAACCGTTCAGACAGTTATGGATAAACTCAGAAATACATGGCCTATAAAAATTTCCATGGAAAAATAGAGTATCAGAAAAAAAAATGTTTCTAAACTTTCCTGCCTCATATTACTGGTTGCAAATCTAAAAGAACCTTCACAACTTTAACAGAAACAGCATTTAAAAGTAACAACACTGAGCTTGTTAAAGCCCATTGCGACTATGTTGGCAATTCTTGGAGCATCATGGGTGTTAAATTAATTTTCACCTCAACTTGCTTCATTATTTTTCCTATCAGATAGGATGCCCTGACAGAGCAAACTCATAAATGCTGGTAACAAAAGGCACTACAGTGAAATTAAAAAGATAAGCTGCCGATTACATGATGGTATTCTTGGTTTCATGGAATATTTGACCATAGTCAAATAACTGTTGCTCAGCTGACTTGTAAACAAAGACTAGATGCACTGGTATGGTTGCACTGGTATGCATGCATGGTTGTATATTGTATATTACTTGCCTTTGAGGTTATATTCGAAGAACAATTTGTTCAATCATCACAATAGAGAACTATAAAACCTAAACTTACATATTATAGATAACAGTTTATGTTAAGTATCCTCATAATGTTTAGTTTTTATTTGGTCCACAGAAATTCCACTTTTAACCTCCCACACAATATCCTCTCCAACTATGAAAAGTATAATTTTCCTACAATACATTTCTTAAAAGATCTCCAAACTGATTATCAGAATTATTCTCAAGTAATTTCACATATTTATCTAGTAATTGCAAGTACTTGATAAATTACAGAGTATCAGAATTACATGCATTTTTATTTATTAGATTTATATCCCACTCTTTTTCTTTTAAAGAACCCAAATCAGCTTACACAATTTTCTTCCTCCTGCTCTCAATCGTATTCTTACAACAACCTGTGAGGTAGGTTGGGCTGAGAGTGTGTGACTGGCCTAGAGTCACCCAGTTGGTCCCATGGCTGAGTAGAGACTAGAACCTATTTATTTTTATTTATTTATTTAGAAAATTTCTAGGCCGTCCCATTCACCAAAGCCTCGGGGCGGCTTACAAACGAATAAATTAAAATACATAAATAACAATATAAAATACACATAACTGTATAAAATACGTCGCCCTGGCCAAAAAACTTTAAAATAAAAATAACATTAACAATTAAAATGACGCTTGAATAAAAAGGTCTTCGCCTGGTGCCGAAAAACAAATAACGACGGCGCCAGGCAGACCTCTCTGGGGAGCGCATTCCATAGACTGGGCGCCACCGCAGAGAAAGCCCTCCTCCGAGTACCTATCCTCCTAATTTCCTTCAAGGAAGGTTCCCAGAGAAGGCCTCTCCCACTGATCTCAGGGGGCGGACGGGCATATATGGACATAAGCGCTCCTTCAGGTAGCCAGGACCCAAGCCGTTTAGGGCTTTATAAGCAATCACCAACACCTTGAATTGAGCCCGGACTTCAATGGGAAGCCAGTGAAGCTGACGGAGCACTGGAGTCATGTGAGCATAACACCCAGTCCCCGTCAACAGCCTGGCAGCTCTATTCTGAACCAATTGAAGTATCCGGACCGTCTTCAAAGGTAGCCCCACCTAGATCGCATTGCAGAAGTCTAGGCGGGAAGTCACCAACATGTGTGTCACAGTCGCCAGGCAGTCGTACTCCAGGTAGGGGCGCAGCTGATGGATCAGCCGAAGCTGAAAGAAAGCGCTCCTCGCCACCGCTGTCACCTTAGCTTCCAGTGAAAGCTCTGGGTCAAGGAGCACTCCCAAGCTGCGGACCTTGTCCCTAAGAGGGAGTGCAACCCCATTCAGGACTAGGTTCAATTCACCCTCACCGAAGCTCGATCCGCCGACCAACAGGACCTCCGTCTTGCCTGGATTGAGCTTCAGTTTATTGGCCCTCATCCAGCCCATTACCTCGGCCAGGCACCAGTTCAGCACAGCCACTGCCTCACCTGGATTGGTGGAAAACGAGAGGTAGAGCTGGGTATCATCAGCATACTGATGATTCCGCAACCCACACCTCCTGATGACCTCTCCCAGCGGTTTCATATAGACGTTACAGCAAAGGGGACAAAATGGACCCCTGTGGTACTTCATGGCATAGCTGCCATGGCGCAGAGCCATAGTCCCCCAGCACCACCTTCTGGAAATGGTCATTGAGATAAGAGCGGAACCACTGCAGAGCAGTGCCTCTGACCCCTACTCCCGCTAGCCTATCCAGAAGGATACTATGGTCAATGGTATCGAAAGCCGCTGAGAGGTCCAGAAGAAACAACAGGGATGCACTCCCCCTGTCCTTCTCCCTGCACAGGTCATCATACAGGGTGACCAAGGGAGATTCAGTACCATACCCGGGT